TTGAAAGCCAATTGTAACACCAACTTTAATCTTTTTACCTCAAGTTTCTAAGTGTAACGTAAATTTCGGTCTCATTATTCATCACTGGTTACAAACCCGTACAAGGATAAATCCGTTCATTATAAATAATCAATAACCCTTATTTAAGATTACTTCCTTCCATAACCAATTACTCGTGTTAATCAATATATGGTCTTTACTATATTTGGATCATAATTATTAATTACTAATCGACCTAAATCTTTATTACTAACCGACAAAGATGAATAAACTCTCAACTCACATGACATACTCGTGACTCTCGATGATCTCGCATAAAACCAGATCATCTACTAATAGAATGTTCACTTTTTTAGAATCACCACAACATTCAAGTTAAAACATTCTAATAGATTTCATCTTGTCATCATCCCTTTAATTAAGTTAATCCATTCCAATAATCTGTGTAATTCATTACAACCATTTAATCAACCATTGGATAATAAATGTTCAATTATATTAGTTAAAGTTCTCCTAATAATGTTTCTACATTATTTAATTCGTTTATCACTCATTGAGTAACTTTTTCACGTTACATAAGAGATAATGATTTTAATCTAATACAATGTAATACATGGATCCAATGAATAACGAAGGTGATCATGAGCAGAAGATCAAGATCACCTTCTAGAACATTCTAAAGACCAATAATGAATAATTCAATTAATATTAAACATTACACGAAGGATTGCGTGTCATAACGTTATTTGATATAATAATAATGAAAGATATCAGACTGCGACCAAGGTCATTATTGAACGGTCGCAGTCTAATTGACATTTTTGTTACAACATGAACAAACTCACAAAATTCAATTCAAGAAAATTCACAATATTCAATGTTAATCGGCAGAGAAGAAAAACTTAAATGAAGTTAAACTTTCTCTTTCTTTTAAACTTTTATATTTCCTTTTTTGTATAATCTATAATAATGTATGACCTCTCCTTTATTATCATCATTAGTTTAGAATGAACTCGATAAAAAAGAAAAGAAAATAATTATCTTAATTATTTTCAACTAAAGATAATAAAGGAGAAATAAATAAGGGAAGAGGGAAGGAAATAGAAAAGAAGAGTGTGTCATAATAACTTTGGCCAGGTACTAAAACTGGTTTAGTACCTAGCCAAGTACCGAGTCTGCCCCTTTAATTTCCCTCTCTCTCTTCCTCTTCCCTTGCCATCCACCATCTTGATGGCAGTTGAGTGGCACCTTTATGGTGCTGATTTCAATCAAGTCTTCTCATATTATATCTTATGCAAAGTTCTAATTAATTAATTAAATAAATCAATAATTGATGTAAGTTTTGATTGTGATTACTCTTAAATTATAAGTTTTATAATTTTTTTTCGGTGTTATAGCGATTGTCTATTACAAGGGAAAGAAAGAGAAAGGAAAGTAAAAAGAGGGAAGGAACAAAGATGATTTGTGCCAGAGGCGGTGGCTGCGCCCCTACTTGCTTTGTCAATTATTGTGTTTCGAGTTTAATTTAAATTTTCGTTTGAATAAGCCAACGATTATTGTTTTCTCTCTCACCTTATCCACTTTTATTCATTATCCATCATCTAATCATTCGTTTACTTTAATATTAATTTTGTGACAATATTAGATAATAGATGATAAAAAGTGATTGATTCTGGTGGTCAATATTGTATTTAATTATCCCTTTCTTTCTAAATCTAATTAACAATTACAGTGATTAAAGTAGAAGTGACACTAACTTTAGTCAACCTAATAATTAATCATTAAAATCTTGATGGTATAGGGTTAATGTCTGATTACGGTTATTACAGACTCATATCTTCTTAAACAAAGTTAATAATTAATTTTGACTAGAGATTGAGTTTGATTACGATTTTCAATTATGAGGTTTTTAACGAAGGTGTTTTAAGATCATTCAAGGTCGTCGCAGAGCACAGAAAGGAAATTCAAACCTAAGGTTTGATGATGATTTGTGCAAAAGGCAGCTGAGATACTTTTCATAAACTTAACTCTTTAAGTGTTTTCGATTGAAACATGCCTATCTTCTTCTAATCCTTCATCACAGACAGTTCAAATAAAATCTGAGGTGTCATTTGACGACCTAAATTAATTAAATGCTATATTAGTTAAATGACCGCAATGATTGAAAATCGTATGGTCGATATTCAATTTGTTTAGTCCCTTTTCAAGTCTAACATTAATATGATTAAAGTAGTTCGACATATTTAGTCAACCTTAGTTCATTAAAATACAATGTATAACGAATAACGTTTAAAAGAACTCTACTAAAAGATTGCAACTTAAAATCATATTTAGCAAGGAACAAATTGAATAACATTACTAGATACTCAAACATATTTTCATCTCAATGGGTCTTCATCTTAATAAAAATGAGAGATTTATTGAATTATCGATCATAGAATTCAGGATGAAGCTCATTATATCAACTCGAAGTAGAAAGTTTACATGGTTAGTGAAACTTTAGCTGAAAATGAAAAAGTCAAATCAATGAATTGATCAATTACAAAGAATTGCTGAAAAGTAAGATTGTTAAATAAACAATTTAATCGATTAAATTGTACTTGCAGAAAACGATTGCTCGTCGAAAAGGTTAAATAGTAAACAAAAATGAGATGAATATTAATAGTATCTAAATATTGGAACTAATGAAGAAATTATATTAACTTACTACTCTTAGATTCTGTAATTAACCAACTCAAACTGAATCTGAAGTCTGATCAAATGATTGGAAAAGTTTTACAAACAAAGCAAATACAATGATAACAACAATCAAGCCAAAAGAAATTCATTTAACCAACAATTACGGCAATTCATTGGGCCTTAAAGAAATTGAAATGTTATCAACGAAAAATTTAATTACTCCATTCACAATTAGTTCATTGTATTCAATTGTTGATTTCTTGAAGTTCAGTTATTTCCCATTTCTATCTGGACGATTTAAAATTATCTCAATTTTTTATGTTTCACTTTTTTCCTTGGTTACCTTGGGTCATGATGCTTTCATGCTGTTCAGCATTTTACCTCCATTTGATTTCTGTAATTTAATTTGCTTCACCCAAATTCATGTGGTCACTGTAATATTAGGTGATTTGATGATGGTTATATTGATGTTCATTGTTCTTTTCGCTAAAATTGATTACTCTGAATATGAAGTTTCTTGAAGTTAATTGACTTTCACTAGCCAATGAGTTGATTGCAAACGAAATTAAATCAACCAAGAAAGACACAAAATTATTCATCGCAATTTATTCATTCTTTTGGCTTTTAACTTCTCCTTTCTGTCTTTACATGAACTTATCTTCACATCATCCATTCGGATTGCTTCAGATGACCATTGAGATGAGTCACATAATCGCCTACGGGATTATTGCAATTCTTGTTTTTATCAAGATGCACACGATATTTACATCTTCCTCCCTGATAAAAGTTACTTTCCGTGCTATCGGGCATTGTATCGAAACTCATCCAGAAGTTACCTGGAACCTTGAAAGTTTACAATATTATCGGCGGATGTACACACAGACCATCGAACTGACCAATACTGCCAACAGAATTTGGTCCTTTTATCTCAGTTTCATGTACCCTTCGTTCAATATCATGGGACTACTATTGTTATATACGATGGTGTCTTCTGGCTATGATCCATGGCGATACTTTATCCTTGGGTCAACTTCAATCGCTCTATTTTGGACTCTAAGTTTTCTCAACAAATACATCATCGGAATAAATACCGAAGCTGCTGCTCTTCATGATATCGTTTACAGAAAAAGTTTACTCGATCTTGATGAGAGATATATGTTAGAGGTTCGAACATGTTATCAAGAATTTAATTCCTCCCATTTACGAGATTAGCAATAGTTTCGATTCACTTTTTTGTTAGATTTAAACTTAATTTTACTTTAAAACTGACTAAATCATCAATCATCTCTATGGGAAAGGTAATCAAATTTTAATTGAAATAGTTAACTAATTTAGTTTTTATCTGATTAATAGGCTTTACTCTTCCTCGAACGGATTGCTCGTGAAGATGTTGGATATAAATTACATGGGAAATTTGTCTTCAGTCCAACTTTAATGGCATCAATGGTGACCCTCGGTGTAACAATTGTAATCGCTTTTCCCTCTTTTATAACAATTAAACTATAATCTTAATTGTAAATGATGGAATCAATATCAAATGGAAAATTTTTACCTCCATTTCATGATAAATGTTTAACTAAATGTTTCTCATTCACTTTTTTCACTTAATCTTAACATAATCAGAATATTTTCCTTGTGTTCTTATTGATTGGTTTAAATCCATTAAATGTATCTACTATTAATTGATTGATTAAATTGATTTTATTAATAATGTTTAAGACTAGAGTAAGATTATTTTGCTGAAGCAAAAGAAAGACCTGTCCCGATTTTTGGCGCATGTGTGATTTATTCAATTTATAGTTATTGCTTTAGCTAAAAGGTTTACTACACGTTTTTTTGTCTTTACTGTTAATCAATTAAATAAGTATTCAACTAAAATTAATTATAAATTTTAATTAGTGGTTTTAATTTTCGTTCACCAGCTCCTCTTCTCTATCTCTATCTCTTTCCTTTACCTTTTCTTGTCTTTTCCTCTCTTTTCACCTTCGTATTGTTTTTCTTCCTTGAAAAGCAATACGAACTCTTTCTTTCTCTCTTCTTTCTTCTTTATTTCCTTTTCTCATTTTTGAATTAACCGCAAAAACTGATTCCTTATCTATTTTTGAAAATTTTTATCAAAAAAGTTAATTTTATCTCAAATAGATAAGAAAAAGCACTAAAATGTTATAAGATCAGACGAAAGAATGTGATTTCTAAACAATATAATACCCCTGTCCCTACGGGCCAGGTCGAAAAAAAAAACAATAATTGATTTTCAAATCGATGTTAAAATCAAAGTATCGATTTTTGGTAGTCTCCATTTTCGATTTAAAATCGATTACCATCACATGGTATTTATTTTGGTTGGAAAATTATTTTGATTAAATTAAATTTCTTCTTGTTTGGTGATTCCAATTTAATTGGTATGAATAAATTTGCCAGGACTCAACAATGGTGTACATTTGCCCGACGTTGGCTTCTGTATGATGCCAAATGGCAAGATGCCTTTTACTCAGCTGATTTGGTCGCTGGTTATTTGAAAGGACAATTCAAACCAATTTATGATACCAATTTTGATACCGACGTGGGTGATGTTGTTGTTGTAATTAATACCAAAGGTAATTAAGTGAATGCTGATTGAATCTTGACCTGTTCATCGTATTTGTATAATGATTTTCTTCTTTTCTTAGAAATTTCTATGCCCCATGGAGAATGGAAATGGAGAACTTATCATCACCATTCGCATTATGGTAAAGGAGCGGTAACTTGGGCTTCTGCTTGGGATTTACACCAAAAAGATCCGACAATTATTCTCTATAAGGCTGTTTACAAAGCGTTACGAGGAGGTGAACATAATCCTTTCAGAGAAAATCAAATGGCTAAATTGTATCTCTTCCCAGATGATCAAGTGCCCAAACATATAATGGAAAACATTTGTGATCAGATTAGGCAACTAAATCCTATTCCTAAAATTAGTGGTAAAATTGATCCGAAAGAATTGAAAGAATACCCGAAAATCATTGATTATCCTGAAGATTATGTTCTCAAATAATGTGAATACTTGAACTGGATCAATTTAATTACTTAGTCTCTTATATATATTAATGAGTTATAAATTTTTTCTTCTTTATTATCAAGTAAAAAGTTAGAAAGTTTGTTCCAAATTTTTAGCTTTCAATTTTATCGAATTAACAATTTTTCTTCACAGAAAATTGTTCATTGTAAACAAAATCAATATGGTTCTATTTCTTAAAGAGCCAAAGCGGGAAGAACGACACCTCGACATTGACCGAAGCCGATCTTGATTCCATCTCTCTCACAGAATCCTGATAAGATGATTTCGTCTCCATCTTGTATGAATTTCCTTTGACTTCCATCGGGCAAAGTTATTGGTTTAGATCCTCTCCAGGTTATCTCCAACATGGATCCATAAGATTCGGGTTCTGGTCCACTAATCGTTCCCGAAGCCAATAGATCACCTGGATTAACATTACATCCAGTGATTGTTTGATGAGCCAATTGTTGTTTCATACTCCAGTACATATGACGGAAATTTGTATTCGAAATGGTTATTGGTTCACCGTTTTGTGGTTTCAATTGAACATTCAAATTTATATCAAGTCCAAAGTCATTTTTATCTTTAAGATAATTAAGCGGCTCGGGTTCTTGTTTATACATTTCAACTTTGAATGGTTCAAGTGCTTCCATTGGTACGACCCATGGACTTATGGTTGTCCCAAAGTTTTTAGACAGAAAAGGTCCCAATGGTACGTATTCCCATTTTTGGATGTCACGAGCGGACCAATCGTTCATCAAAACCATGCCGAAAATGTGATCTTGAGCTTCAACAATTGGAATTGGTTGACCAAGTTGATTAGCGGTGTTACCAACAAAAAAGGCCATTTCCAATTCAAAGTCAAGTAAACGACAAGGACCGAAACCTGGTTTACTTTCATCGTCATTCTTGGTTTGACCATTTGGCCTTCGAATCGGTGTTTCTGAGACAACTATTGAAGACGCTCGACCATGATAACCAACGGGAATATGTCGCCAATTGGGCATCAGCGCATTCTCTTTACCTCTGAACATTATACCGACATTAGTTGCATGATAAATTGATGAATAAAAATCAGTGTAATCACCGATTGTCGCTGGTAAATGCATAGTGGCCTCTTTTTGTTCAACCAAGGCCGTTCTACGAAGACACAGATCATTTTCCAAGGACTTATCTTTACCCGATAAAAGATCTTGAATCTTGACTCGTACTTGATGCCATTCAGATGGAGACAAACTCATGAAGTCATTTAAAGTTGATTTGGTTAAAACATGTTCACCAGATTTAATCAACTTCTCAAAATTGAAAAGATGATGGACAACTTTAAGGTCAAGAATATGATCTCCAATGGCCACACCGATCCGATGAGTTGACTAAGGATAATTGAGAAGGAAAAATTGATCATGATAATAATTTGATTGAACGGGAATTAAATTGTTTTACTTACATTATTACTCGTTGAGAAAACACCATAAGGTAAATTGTCAATTGTAAACTGACTTGTTGCTGGAATTGGAACCCAAGACATTGTTAATTGTTCACAATTAGTCCTTGACAAAATGACTTCTCTTAAACCACAGATTATTATTAACTGATACTTGTTTTTTACTTTCTCTTTAAATATAAATGCTTATGATCTGATACTTTGTATCTAATCAACAATTTAACAATCAGTCAGTTAATCAGGTTTATCTTTGATGATCTTTTCAAGTATATTGAGAAAATACGATAATAATATTAATATTTTCCTTCGTTATGTTTAATCTATCGGATTCAACCTTGAATATTTTTCACTAATTCCATACAAACAATTTAATTCATTTCCAGTTACCAAGTTAATCAACACATTAATAAGAATCATCCAATTAACAGATCATTCCATTAGCTTCAAACTATTTTAACAGAACCATTTTCTCTCCAACCGCTAACTAATTAAACCACAATCAGCTGTAATTATTGATGGGGAAAAAAGAAATATAGTTTTAATTTAAATAAAATCGACAAAATGTTTCAATTAATGCGAAAAATTAATAAAAAAAAGTTAAATTAATCGATTTCTAAATTATTAGTAACCATGGTTACCACTGAGGATAAAGTGTGTTAAATAGTCAACGTGCTTTTTTGTTTACATCTGAGTTTCTAATTTCTGCTTTAATCTCAATGCTTTTGTTTATTTTTGTGATTTGGTTTCTTAAATTGTTATTTAAACTCTACTATTGATTGAACAATTAATTAAATTAGTTAATATTATGTCTCATGCAAATGTGAACGGCGATTCTGGTAAGTGATAGATTAACTAATTCTTGGTGAAGTGAATCAGTTTTTAAATTGCTTCTTTGTCGATAGTAAGAGTCTTTTCCTTAGCACATGTTTTATCACATTTTCTCATGTTTTTTTTTGTTTTTTTTTCTTCCTTGTTTCTAGTTTTGGATTCTGGCTTGGAATTACTTCAGCAATCTAATGGAATGATAAAAAAGACGAAAAGAAATTTACAAGAATCTGGTGATGTCGTTCAAAAGAAGAAGAAAAAGAAATCTAATCAAACAATCAAAAAGTTTGTTCATCATGTTTGTTCACCGATAAGTAATGAGAAACGTCGTAAAGCCGTGGCCGCAATTCTGGCACCGACTCATAATTTTAATCAATCAGAATTAGAAGATCTATGGAAAGGAATGTTCTTTGCTGTTTGGTACACGGAGGTTACTAAATGTGAGGAGATTCTTCATGACATTGCTTATAATTGTCGCTATCAGAATGAGAAAGATTATCTGATTACTGGTTTCAAATTATTGGCTCGAGAATGGATGGGAATTGATTTCTTTCGAGTTGATAAATATGCTTTACTGGTCAGACATATGATTAATCGTAGTTTAAGAGTGGCCATTTTTGATAGTGAACCGAGAGATTTTAATTTTCTGAATGAAATTTTCATTGCTTCCGATGAATCTGTTGAAATGTTGGCCCATATTCTTGAAGTTTATATTGAGGAGCTTCAAAATGTTACCATGAGACAAGTTATTTGGGATCCAAACGATAAATGTGATGTTTATATTTCTGCAATTAGGCCTGTTATCAAAGCTATTCCAAGAAATTCTGATTCTCGCATTTTGAGTACAAGTAAAGAATCAATTTTTAAAGAAATTCGTTTATTCTTAAGATCAGAATGTCAATCAAACTGGAGGGATAAGTTCTGCCAAGAAATATTCAAAGAATTGATCGATACTGGTAAAGAAGATAACATGTCAGCAACGAATCGTAAAGCTCTGTTCAAAATTGCTGCTGAAATGAAAAGAAGTTAATTAGCGACAATCCAATTTAACTGTGTAAAACTCTTGTAAAGTTTAAGAAAACTGTCCATCGATTGTTTCTCCATTCGATACATTTTCAATACTGTCCAAAAATCGACCTCTGAACTCGACGAGAATTCTGGATGATATTCTCCAAACCTGAACGAGAATCATATTTGTATACACATGGTTGTAATATGAACAATTTCCAATTATTTGATTGTTAATAAATACTATGGACAACGAGTATATAACGAGAGTTATAATCGTTTCGAGTTGAAAAAATAAATCTTCATGACAATAATCGAACCAGTAGCTTGATGAAGTTAATTCACATTTCTAAATTAAGCATTTTCCATGTTTATATTGGCAATTTCTCATTTAGTGGAAATTCAGTGTTCTGATTGCTGAAAACAATTTGATTAATCTAATCATGAGCTACTTAATTTCTTGTGTTACTTTAATTGTCTTGACAATTATTGTTAATCATTTATTTGAACAAAATGTTTGTTTTTTCATTCATTAACCATAAACGTTTAGTGGCTCATTTAAAATCTAATTAAATTGAGAATGACAATCGATGATGATTGTGCTCATGGGAAATGATGAAAACGATGATGATTGAAAATGATGATCACTCATCATGAAGAAGAGAGAGAGGAAAAAGATGAATGATGATCAAAGTCGTTTGTAGGGATAATCCATCGTCTTTGTTTCTTTCTTAATCTCTCTTGATACTCTAACCACTAGAAGAAGAGACAAAATCCCTTTCGCTTTAACAGAAGCTTAAGATAAACTAAACGATTGAAGAAAATGAGTCTCATGAGAATTAACTGTTAACCTTAACTAATACAATTAAGTGAATTGAATATTCTTCGACAATTAACAAGATAAACGAGACAATTAATCGATTAACGCGTTGACGTAAATAAATCGTAACCAAAGTTTCAAATAAAAAGTTTTCATTTCATTCATTAGATTTTAGTTTTGATTCTGTTGAGAAATTTTCAGTTTCAATTTCAGTCATTTGTTGATCATTTGAATTGTGACAATTGATTGTTGATAATTAGAGATTTAATTTTACCGAAATCATTTGAATAGATTGAATTGTGTTTTTGAACATTTTTTAATTCCTCTTTTGTGTTGGTTGTTACAATTTAGTGTATCGATTTCAATGTTTCCACTGAAAAGATAAAGTCATTGGTTTGTGTTTGTCTTTTTTTCCCTGTTACTTGTTGATTGGCACCTTCGCTTTAAACACAAGATTAAGATTAAGATCTGATTCAGATTAAAGTTAATTATATGTTTACATTTAAACGATTCTTTATTGTTATAGTCAAAACAATCAAATCAAATCGAAACAAACTCTCTCTCTCTCTCTCTCTCTCTCTCTTTCTTTCTTTCTTACTCTCTATCCACAGGTAACTACAGAAAAAAGTAAACAAAAGGTAAGCAACAAACTCGAACCAGATTAAGGGAAAAACACCCAACAGAGTAAAAGATAATCTTGTAAAATTATTGTCACATTTAACTCTTACCTTTACCTTTTTACCTTTTCTACTTTTCTTTCAAACGAAATATGAAACTACATAGAAAATGATTTTCCATTGAGTTTAATCACTTGACCACAAGAACAATTAAGATAATGATAAATATCTTGTTCTCAACTGACAAGTAATTAACTTTCATTCATTTCATCTTAAATAATAATAATAATCGTAGTAATTACAATTTAAATTGTCATCACGATTTCACATTTATTATTGATCAAGTTTCAATTTTTCAATTTCATCAATGAATTTTAATGTTGATTCAATTCAAACTCATCCACTTATCACAACCTCACTAATTACAACAAATCAATAACCATTAAGATCGGCTACTTTTAGGTATCAATTTAAATTCACAACAATTAACACTAATCATTATAATGTTATCATTGATTTTGGTCTCGGCTTTTTACCTGATTACAAGTAAAGGGTTAGCCTTACCTTTAAGTTTGGATGTTAATTATCAGGTAGAAACAAAAAGTGGGTGGTAAACATGATTATCACCTTTACCTTTTTCCAATAGTAATTAAGTTAATTACAAAGACGAAATTGTAATAACACAAATACAATTAAAAATCACAAATTTCTTAATGTAATAACGTTTTAATTTTGATCAAGCTCAATTTCCTAGTTAACATGTTTACAATGAATTTAATCATTTACAACGTTGATCATTGTTAACTAAATTGTAACAATAAAAATATTTTATGTCTTAATAGTAACAAGACAATCAAATGATAATTAAATTTGATGAACAACAAATTTACTTGCCAGGAAACAATTAATTTTTCAATTGAAACATTGAATCAAACTTAATTGATTGTTTACAGTTTAGTCAGTTAACAATTTAAAATTAACAACAAAAGCTTGGAAAGCCAACTAAATTAATGATCAATTAAACTGTTTTCAACGCATTTAATTGCTGCAGTTAAATTAACAATTAAGAGGTTGGGTCAAGGTGTTTAGAGCAATAATCATAATAAAAGTAAGTAGCCAAAAGTTAACTAAAAGGTAACTAATGATGAGCTTAATTTAATTGTTAGACCAACATTTTATTACCACTATCACTTTAAGAGTGAAAAGCAACTTAATTGTGATGAAAATTAAATGAGTCGATTGTAAAATTTAATGTATTAATAATAGCAATCAACAATTAAGCATCAAAGGTTAATTACAAGAGGACAATCAAATAGCAAATCTCAGGTTAATCAAGGGTAAACAATTAAAGGTAATAAAAATACAAAACAGATTGTAAAAAGTTCATTGTTAAAATTGAACATTTTGTGTTGTGTCCACTATTTAGATGACCATTGATGCCTCTATTTAGTTATAAAGTTATAACAATTAACTTTTTAAAAGTTATCACAATGAAGAGGATGACGATGATAATGATAATGAACAAGGTGAAAAAGGTTTAAATTGTAATGAAACGAAAGTCTAAAGGTGGAAAAACAAAGTGACCAATGGTCAGTGAGAGAGACTTTCTATCTTTACAACCTTCATTAGCTTTAATAGTTTTGATCATTGGTCAAATGGTCACTTTTGTCAAGTTGATTAGCATCAGGTAATCATGTTGATTTTGTTGCTGATAAAAATAAATGTTAACTTATTGATTTCTCATGAAAAACTATTATTATTTATTGAACTTTTCTCAATATTACATTTTGATTTCATGGTAACAATGAATGATGAACATTTTGAAAATGATTTTCATGGTAATCATCATGAACAAAATATTATTTTCATCATTAACTGTTTATTCAATAGAAATGAGAGAATATGAAAATTCAATATGAATATTATACCATCATGGGAATCGTGATGAGCTTTTTATAACACATCATTTGTTATCTTCAATTTCAATGAATTCTGGTTACAGGGAGGGTGAAAAAATATTCAATTCGAAATCAAAGTTTCAATTCTGTTTATTTTCATGTTTTTCTTTCATAAGTTAATCTCCATTTTTTTCCTTCTTTTTTGGTGAAAGAAAATCATTTACAGTTTCATCTGATTTTCGAACTTTTTTCTTCTTTCTTTTCTTTTTCTCTTACAACTTTTATCTTCTATCGAATTCAATAAACAATTTAAATCAGAATTTAATCATCTTATTATATTATTCATGATTCATTCATAAGAAATAGAAAGAGAGAGAGAGAATGATAATGTTAACAAAGAATCGAAATAATTTCATGCTTAGAATATGATTATTAGGTGTAACATTTTCACTTTCGAATTATAATTCAGACAAAGAAAAAAGTTCTAACATTTGAACTTTGTAATTCAAAATTCGAAGATGAAAAAAGTTTCGAAAAAAGTTTCTATCAAAATATTTAAACTTAAATTAGTCGATCAAGATTAAAATTGATTGACAATTAGAGTCTAATCAATGATGATAAACTTAATGATGATCGGCTAAGACTAATTAAGAGTTAATAAAAAAAATGAACAACAATATAGTTGAAAAGATAATTAAATAATAATCTAATTAAACATGATAATGATTCAAGTCGGAAGACTGAGATTATATTTTAATTACCTTCATTATCATGATAATTATCATCTGATTGTTGATGAAAAAAAGTTAATGAAAAGCTAATTAATTGCTTTCTAACAAAATGGATGACGATTATAATTAACCTAATTATGATAACGATTGAGTTTGATATTGCTTGTTGATTAGAACCATGAATTAAATTAATTAACTTTGATGATAATGAAAAGACAGTTAAGGAAAAAAAAATTTCATTACAATGGAGAGAGAGATAATTAATTGTGATTAACTAATCATTCACAGTCTATTGATTTATTGTAGTCACAATTAAAGTTTTGTGGTTGATTTTGTTGTTGTTGTTACTGTTACAATTTATTGATTGTTTGATTAGGCAAATATTTACCTTGATGTAATTTGATTTACATTTTTACCATTAATGTAACGAGGTGGTTACATTAATTGTTAATTGTTCATGGATATATTATTATGGGAACAATTTATTTATTAATCATAGATTGTTAATCTTTTAAATCAACAATAATTGTTATTAATAAATCATATGATTAGTGTTGGTTGTGTGTGTGTAATAGTTAATGATTAATGGAAATAAATTGCTGTTAATGATTTAATTTACAATTAAATTGTTACAATTTTTTTAAGTTTTTAATTTAGGTTTTTGTTGTTATTGTGAAAAGCAATTAATTATTATTCATTAGTGTTGATTCAATGGTTAAATTAAATGGTGTTATTAATTTTTGGTTAATGAATTTATTATTGCCATTGTTAAGGAGTGAGGGAGATAATGAAGGAGGTGAGTGAGAGAGACAATGAAAGGGAGAGATTTGGGTGGGGGCGGAGGATGGAGATAAGGATAATATTGAATCAAATTGTGATAAATGGTTGTAAATAGAATGAAATATTTATGAATGAAGGAAGATGAGAGATGAGGAAATAGAGAAAAACATGAAAATATGATGAAAGAGGAGGAGGATGGAGAGTGAGGTGGGTGGTGGGTGGAATGTATCCGATTTCCGTGCAGGAAGTTTGGTGAAATGTAAATATTGGGAGAATCTTTGTTATTCTTTTTTTTTTCGAATTTTTTTTGTTCTTTTTCATTATAAATCATACAAAAGTAACTACGAACACGGACATGAGAATGAGAGAAAGAGCTCTATTGATATTATCCCATTCTCTTTAAGATGTTATCTTTGTTGTAAGAGTGGATGATGAGGATGACAATGTGTGAGAAGATGATGTTAATCATTGAT